CATACAAGTAATTTTGCCAATATTTTTAAGAGAACATTTTCTTACAATTTGTCATTTTGGCCTATTATTTGTTTGCTTTAACTGATCTAATCCAGAATCATGATTTAGCTTTTCCTTGATAAATTATTCTAGATAAAACAGTAGTCTACAAACCAATGATTGAATGAGATAAATACTGTGACATCCATAATTTGTGTTATTTATTAGCTAGGCCTATCTATTCAAACGGGTCCGCGGAATTGGCTAACTCTGGAACTCGCTAACCCCATGTTAAATGCCCTATCTTAAAATTTGGTCGATGAGAGGAACTCGCTAACTTGTTCGGTTTCGGAATTGGCTAACTCCGGAATCCGCTAACCCGCTCTAGAGCCGGGTTAGTGACTTCCGTACTAAGACAGAATTCGCTAACTCGGTCCCTCGGCGGAACTCGCTAACTTCCAATCAGAAGCGTCGCTCGCCGGCCAATAGGAGCAAAGCACGAAGATTGTTGGCCAGTGTTGCCGAAAGTGTAGTACTACGATCGTATCGGTACCATAATATCGTATCCAATGAATAATTCGCAGTAAGAGCAATGTGGTTGATGTTAAATAAAAGTATATTGAGAAGTAGGCTATGTTTATTATTATTGTTTTGATTATTATTAGCGTGTAAAATGCGTTATTATATTCTAATTCAATTGTTGTTTATTCGTTTGTAAAAAGATAGCTCGTTCGGTTCTTTTGTTAATGAAATATTTATGTTCATAGGCCGTAATTTGCTCCTTTTTTCAAATAAATTGCATTAAATATATGAAATGCTGTAAACAAAATTATCAAGTTCGTATTTGGTAGACCGGGTTTGTAGCCGTGAATGATTTTCCTTGATAGGCTATAATATGACTCTTTAAAGGTCTATTTTATGTCTGTCGTGCGGGTTATGATTTTTATTCATTTGAATAACTTATCATTTTGTTTCAATGTTCTTACATTCATTAATCTGGCACTCCCCTCATGAAGCAGAACAAGACAGTCCGTTCTGTTTACACCCACAGTTGCACAATGGGTCATAAAAGAAGAATGGACCATTTTCAATAATCACTGTAGGGTTGGCAGTATAGGCCTATCAGATACTGTACGGTAGTACAAGGTTTTCACCAAGAAGGACATTATTCTCAGACGTTTGAACAAATATGTGAAAAAAACTATTATAGGAAACAGTAAACATGAATAGGCCTACTATAGTATGCAACAGTAAACATATCAAAACAGGCAATGCAAAAAAGACTACAAAACAAAAAAGTCGTACCCCCATACATTTCTTATGGACGTTTCGTAGTTTGAACATGTTTGTAGACAATTTTTCTTATATCTCCAGTTTTTACAGTTTGCAGTTTGTTCTAGCCTTAAAATAGTCTGTGATAAAAGGGTTTACATTTGAGCTATTGATCATTATAATGGTATGATTAGAAACGAGCTACCAACCCTGTCACATTAATAATGTGACACCCTGAAGGTGTCGGGTTCGCATCCCGCTGGTAGTACTAATTTTTTGGCCTTGCAAACTTACAACACGTTTCCTCAATTTTCTGTCACCTGCCTCTTCTAATGCACATTATTCATTAAATTACCAAGATCATATTATAAATTGTGTTTCTTTCTATAGTCTAATGTGTTGAAATGCATTGTATATTTATTTAATTTTACTAGGGTTTTACCATTATTTACATGCATTAGGTTCTCACATTATTGTTTTTGAAACGTCACAATTTATTTGACAAACATAAAATGGAAGCATACTAAAGAATCAGCTGATAGCTTCAAGGTCAATGAGTAAAACTTGCGGTAGTTTTTATTTTAAACGTTACAGTTTTTATTACTGAACTAAGATGTTAATGACAAACTAATATTATTGAGCAATAATACTGTAGTTGTAACTTACTTTGACTATGCGAAAAGCAAATTAATAATCACAATAATGTACATTTATACAGTTAGGACTATTATGAGGTTTTATGATTTTTTATGGGCAAAATCCTTTCGTCAAGGGCGGGGTGACCTCAAACCCCACCCCTTGCCACTGCAGCAGAATATTTAAGACGGTTGTAGAGAAATTTGATCTAATAAATGTAATCAGATGATGTTGTGATAGTTGTACTAGATGATTGAGTACTAGCGTTGACTAGATAAAGTCGAACATCTGCTTACCCTTTGTCGACCGACGGGACGCACGATTTTTATTTCAACTGCAGTTTTTTAATACGGACAAAATAAGAGTTTAAAAATTAGAAATTAAAAACAAATTATTATAGGCCTAAAACTAAAAAAATATATAATTAATTTTTAATTAAACTGTCATAACCTAACCTAACTAACCAAACTTGCTGATAATAAAAAAACTGAATAATGGTTTACTAATCGAAAAAATAGTTCTCTTCATAAAATAAAACTATAAACGCCTCAAATTAAATTTTATATTTTTTATTTTTTAAAAATTAAACTGTCATAACCTAACCAAACTAACCAAACTTGCTGATAATGAAAAAATTGAATGAAGGTTTACTAATCGAAAAAATAGTTCTGTTCATAAAATAAAACTACAAATAGCTCAAATTCAATTTTATAAGGTTTTAATTATAAAATTTAACTGTTATAACCTAACAAAACTAACCAAACTTGCTGATAATGCAAAAATCTTAGACAAAAAGTTTGTGCACCTGACGGGTTTCGAACCCGGTACCATAAGTTTAGTAGACCAGCACGCTATCCACAAGACCACCGAGGCCGATGGATTCAACCCGTTTCATTGCGCTAATGGTGTTCCCTCAGCCAATAGGATGCTCTCATTTTGTTCTTATTAAAATAACTGCAGCTGAAATAAAAATTGTGCCGACGGCACTATTAAGTCCCAGCATTGCTTTTTCAGAACAGCTGCTGCCAATTAGGCCATTCTAGGGTTGCTATTGGTTGTAGCTGTTGCCTAGCAACAGTTTCAGCATGTCCTTGTAGTTCAAACTTAGTCCACCAGGCTGCAGCACATATTGGACTCCATAGGGTACTAGCCCTTTGTCGACCGACGGGACTCTTAAGTCCCCCAACGGGACCCTCAAGTCCCAAATAATATTTTTTTCTGTTACAAGTAACCATGGAGATATTTAATAACTTAATTTGATCCATAAAAACATCTTCCAGCAAATATTTTCTTATTTTTCCAATTTTTCAGTGGTTGGGCAACAAAGGGTTAACATAATAATAATAAATGCAAATAATTGCATTAATTAATGTTTGTTAATTTATTTAAGCAAAGATTTAGTAGTTGAACATTTTTAGGGGAAAAATTAATTAATTAGGCATTTACAAATGTATCATACAGTAATAACATTACTAATTGTAATTAATGAATCTATATTAAAATAATAGTCTCCTCTCCAACTCCAGAAAAACAATTCAACTACTTGATGTCATAACAGAATCATAGTATCAAAAATATTTTAAGTATTGCGACCATTGCAACTGTCGGCTGTTATTTGACCGCTTGAAAACACATTGTGTCAATAAACAAATAGCTCAGAGGTAAGGTAGTATTATATTGTCTGTGGTAAGAGGCTCACGACACGTAGATATCAGGTTCGAAACCCATTTGGAGAAGATTTGTTTTTCATCATTTGATTTCATATAAATAGATAGGCATACTTTTGTAAACAACTTGTAAAGTTAACATTTTTGCGACACTTAGAAACCCACTGTAAACCACATTAAAAGTTACTCAAAATAATAACGACGGATACTATTTAAAAAAAATACACAGTTGTTGACATCTACAAAACTGAAACCCTAAACTAAAATGACCTTGACTTTACCTTTCTTAAATCTATCCTTCTTCCAACACCAAATCATATAACAAAATTAATAATAAATTAAACAAATCTTAGGATTAGGCTAAAAAAAAACTAGCTTTTTGCATGTAGGCCTAGGTTTACATTGCTTTAGTTGTCAATTGCCTAGGTTTAGCCTACAATTATTCTATTAACTGTTATGAAACGTATGTAATATTTTTACACATAAGTTTGACGAGTCAACAACGAACCTTTAATTTGAAGAATTACTTATAAAACACGGTTAAAGGCTTTATTAGACAAGGGTCAATTACATCACGATTAAATTTTGTATCCGTGATTGAGAGCTCACTTACATTTACAATCTCTTCGTGGTTTAGTTGGTAGGTCTACTATTCTCACTAATTTTCATGTATTGCTATTTTCCTATAACACTGGCATTCATTTTAGATATAAATCATATAACACAATTTCATTGGACTTGTAACAGCAAAATACAAAACCATATAACCTCTTAGAATTTATGTGGCATTCCCAGTTTCAAGAACAAAGGATTTATTATGTTGGTTTACCTTATGATTGCCATGTTCTTGGATAAAACTTTCAATAAAACTCTACAATCATCAAGAAACAATCACAAGGTGAACCAACATAATAAATAACTTCTTAATGATGTTATAATTGCATTTTAATTGCTTTGAGCTACGTAGCTATTATATTCCCCCTAATGGATTTGATAATAGAAACCAATACCGTAACAATTATCTTTATTGACACTGACGTTTTGAATTACGGCAGATTACGACTATTTCGTTGTGCAAGGTTGGCAACGCTCCGTGCGGTGGGCGCGGCCGGGTTAGCGACTTCCAGAGTTAGCGAATTCCGCCGCGGGACAAAATCGAGTTAGCGGGTTCCGGAGTTAGCCAATTCCTGACAGGGACGGTTAGCCAGTTCCAGAGTTAGCCAGTTCCGACACACGACCGAGTTAGCGAGTTCCAGAGTTAGCCAATTCCTACGTCCCATTCAAACCATAGGGCACCGTCTGCACTCTTATGACGTTGGCAAATATTTCAACCTACTCATCTAAACATAACTTTCTATAAGATATGTTTGCATTGCAGTATAAACTGTAAACTGTGGATTTTGATGAAATTAACACAAAGGATAGAAGTTAGAGAAATTCACTGAGTGATCAAACTTTTTGTATTCTCCGCATGAATTTCATCTGTTGTATGAGAGATGTGAAGGCAGCCAATGCGTCCCCGGACAACACTGGGATCAGTTCCGGAGGTACGTTGTAGCCGTAGTCACCTTGGTCTCTCAGGATTATAGAGAAGACATATTTGATATCAACTCGGTGTCGTGCCCAGTTCTCAGGAGTACCTGGAATGAAATGAGTTATATGAAAATTCTATTACAATAGACAATATTGGTGCTTGATAGCTCTTTTTTTTACTCTTAGGCCCAATCCATACACATATATTACATAAGAAGTAGTTATTCGTAGACTCCAAATCAAAATTCAAATAACAATCTTACTCAGCCAGAAATCACACTAGCACAAAAACAATCCTGGGGCCCACTAGCGGGATTCATATGCTCAAAGAAGAATTTTTTTGCCACCTCGATACCAGAGACTACTATTAAGCATTCTTTAGTTATGGGCAGAGCGTATGGTTCCAAATATGGTTGACAGTTATTGCTAAAGGACACCCCCCTCTCACATGTACTTTATTGATGAGGTATGCACTTAGTGAAAGATGCAGTGTGTTGATTTTTCAACTAACTTCAGATACAGACTAATTTCACTTTTATTATATTTTGTTAACCTATCCTGCATGATGATTAAAAGCGTGAAAAAAATTGGAAATCTGAATATGTAATTAAGTATCAACATCATTATCAAACGTCCCATAAGTGGGGTCTATTATTATTATTTATTATTATTATTATTAATGTTCGTTTTCTGGCCTTAGTTTTACCTCATCCATTCAACTCCAGCTCCAGCTTGTATCATAAAGCTTGATTATTGTTCCTTGTAATGAAATAAAATATGTTAAATGGGATTCCATAGAGTTTAGCTAGGCTATCTTTGCAACTAAGACCCTAAAAATGTCAAATCATGAAAAATAAAAAAATTAATGTTATTTGTTATGAAAATGTTATCATAATGTTATCGTAATGTTGTTGAAAATGTTATTTTTGAAATGGTTGAGAGTTGAGTCAATCGTCAACACTCAACTCAATCAATAACAGGATTTGGTTTTTTTGAAATCCAACAGTTGAGAAGTGAGTTGGTAGTCACTAGTTGAGTGATTTGTTTGGAAAAGAAGTGGCAACACCGCATGAAATACAGATGACATCATTTTGAACCAATCACAGTGCAGAGTGGCTTGCGAGCTTTGATCTAACCTCTCACTCTATACATTTTTTATCCTTTTCTCAGCTAATAAATCTGAATCACGTCTCAATCTGCCATATTTCGAGCTGTCAGCTCCATCTGTAGAGATTGAGGTTATGTCTCAATCTCAGTGTCAGGGATTACAAAAGTACCTTGTTTGAGAATTTGAAATAAAATTAACTATTGAGGCTTGTTTTAGGCTATTCCTCATTAATATTAAACCTGTATGATAAATTATTTGCTTTTCCTTTGTCTCTAATCAAGAACAAACGTCGTTTTGTTTCTTGTTATTTTTAATTGTGTTTGATGTTAAAGTTAAAGCTATATTTGCCAATACACCGAAGCATACAGTAATTTAAATAAATTTGATCCCTATATTAGGTGTATTATGGTATTGAAACAAACTAACTATAGGTCGGCCGGTTAGAAAACGACCTCGTAGCATTGGTGCGAAAGAGAGATACCGAGCTGTGGGAGTGAGACAGACTATGGCTCTTCCCCCAATCCGCTGCCGTCCCACCCTTCCCGAACACACGCCCCCTTAAATTGAAACCAAAATATTAACAGCAATTAAATTATACAGCTGATCGAAATGTAAACAAATTCGCGGAGAGGGGGAACATACCCTCCCTCGCCGTTAACTCCCCTACATGCGCTAAAAATTTCGCGCAGGTCGCTTTCCAACCGGCCGACCTATAATGATGTTTCTCTTTACAACAATCTTAATAACAATTATCTTATAATAAGTTTAACGAGTTGTTGGCCCGTCCTACGTACGGGAATCGAGTAGTCCATTAAAACTGTATATAGTTATATCAATATTTATATTCCTAATTCAAGCATAGTTTTAGGAGTTCAAAATTTATTGTCAAGAAAAAGCTGCCAAGATGAATTAAACATGTGATCATTGTTATTTCCCAACCTTTCCTAAAAAATGTTAGTAAGAAATATTTTTATAAGCTTTCTTTTGAAAGCTCGTGAGCTTCGATTCGTATACAGCAATGGTTATAGAATCTTACTTATTTCCTATAACCAATGACAAAATCACAGAGTAAATAAACTAACCTCATAGTTCTCTGGAATATGGAATATTTTTTTATTCAACCAGCTGTTAGTTTTAACAAATTATATTGCACTAAAACAAACTAAAGATTTTAAAGACTGCTAAAAAATAAATTAGATCATCTAGTATTTTACTATGTATGTTTAAATAATCTGTCATCCTCTTATTGAATAAATGAACGTATCAATGATTATAGCATTACACATAGTATAAATAATTCAACCCTAGCCTACGTATGTAATTTTATTTTTATCCAAATGCTGAATTTGTGTTGCGAACACTGAATGTTTACAGCTGTTACGTTAAGCAAATGGTATTAATAGCAAAAGCTAGTCTAGAATGTTTACGTCGGCTGCTAGACTTTTTATAAATCAAAACTTAATTTCTAAAAAACTGGGACCCTAAACTAAAATTATGGCTTCACCATTCCCTAGTTCTCAAAATTATCTTTCTTTCAACACAAAAATCATGAAAATCCGTCGAGTGGTTGATTCAGAATCGTGAAATAAAAAAACACTGTTTCGTTTTAATATTATAGATAGATTAGCAGGCCTAGTCTAATTCAAAGTATTGCAAACATCCCAACAAGGATACAACCCTTTATTTGATTGGACACAGTAAATAAAAATGCAATTCATTCTACAGAAAGCAATGGAATAAAATATTGGGCGTTATGTCAGTTATTGACAACAAATACCTAACCTCTTATCTCAGTTAGTGAGTAAACAAAGCAATGACAATATGGCGTCAACTCAAAAAGAGAGAGGAAGAAGAAAGTGCAGTTTAAGTCAACTGTCAATCGTTTGAAAAATACAAAACTATTGGAAAATGAGTGACTCACACTGAACTCAACAGTCAACCATTAAAAAATAGGGACCCAGATGTGAAATTGTTGCTTTGTCACCCACAAAAAATTGTTGTTTCAGTTAAACATTATCTTGCAAAATCTAAATAAAACAGATTTTGACTTTCCCTCTCTAGTCACCTGACATTATTTCACTGAACTCGAGTACAAGTAGACTCCTTATCCGGACTCCTCGGGACCGAGGCCAGTCGGGATAATGGTTTTTCCGGTTAAACCGACGTCCCCAAAAACTCTTTAAAACGGACCGTTTAAATGTATACTGTATACAGTATTTGACTTAAATTTAGGAGAGCATTGTATCTAAACACGTGATCACTGGTCTCAAATCTTTCCCACGAGAACAGTCATTTCAGTACCGCCCACTTTCTGCCGATCTAGTCCGGTTAAACCGATGTAGTGATAAAACTTTTCCGGTTAAAGAGATGTCATTCCAGCCTAGTGTAATCTGGTTAAACCGATGTCCGGTTAAAAGGTGTCCGGATAAGAGGGAGTCTCAGTCTACTGTACCTGGTACTATTGCGAGTTTCTTGGCTCCCGATCCAAAATTGTACATTGGACCACCCTGTTCTTTGATAGCAAACGCCATCTTCTGTGCCACATTCTTCATGTGCTTGTGGTCTCTAATTGGTGCTGTCACATGGGTCCAAGGGTAGATGATGTATTGCCCATAGTTGTGGATGGTTACAAACGTCTGTTAAAAAAAATAATTGTTAGCTCAATAAAGATATTTATTTCTCTAAAGGTTTGGGTGAAATGCAAAATACCAGTAGACAAATTTGTTTGGGGGACCTTAAACTCTTTTTGTAATAAGTAGTAAAGCTTTGGTAAATAAAAAGTTGGTACATATGACGTTTTATATTCAATTGCCAGAAGTTGGTCTCATGGAAAAGGCAGGAGGTGAATTTTCCGTAAAGATTACCTATGTAAATATGATAAATGGTTTCTCGCAATGGGTCTTATTATGGGGCATTATTATATGGGTATGATTGGGGATTAGAGCTGGGGAGCAGAAAAATTGTTCATAATCCAGGGCGAAATCAATACTCAACAAGAGTCTTGCTATTAAAAAATATAATCTAATTTAAGATTTTGTGTTGACAGTCATGTAACTAAATTATCTTAGAGATAACTTTGCTAAAATAACTAACAACTAAAGCATTATTATTCTAGTATCTTTTAACTTACATTAAGATTTGTTATGTTGTTCTTCACAAAGTCTTTCAACGCCTTGGTCTCGGCTGCTGAGAAAGGTTCTGTGCCGCTAAAGTTGGGCTGCCACGGCCGCTTGTGTCTCTTCCAACCGGTTTTCCAGTTGCGGTTCAAGTCGACTCCATAGTGAGTCCTGTTGTTCCACAATATTGGTTCTCTGTTTTTCCTCCAGCTTCTGTCGGTTTCACAAGAATATTTGTAGCCATCAGGGTTGGCTACTGGGATGAAGTAGTAATTGACATCAGAGTAGTTTGAGCAGGTTCCGTTCAACTTAGACTGAAGGATGTGGTTGATCAGGAATGTGGTTGCTGCTGGTCCAATGTGCTCATTGGCATGTATGCCTGAAAACAAAACAATTGTTGGAATTCAAAAAGTATTTATTTAGTCAAGTTACCTAAGTTGTCTAATATTAAGAAACTGTGACTGTATTAGAAATCATGTGGGTACCGGTATTATTGTTTGCAGTCAGCTGTCCATGTATGTCCTACTGCAATGGGTTTCTAACTGTTCTGGAAAGTAACTTTTTGTTCACCTAGCTTCTTATTTGGCATGATGATTTTTCCTTGTACAGTATTTTTTAAGTCAATATAATTAACATCTTACATCAAGCTTCCACCTTTCACTTACAGTTGACTAAAATGTATTTGGTTTTTGAAAATATGTACTGACTGACAATAATACTAATTTGCAAGATGTATTGGAGCTTTGCGTTAATGACAGACAATCGTATTCAGTACCAAATTCATAAAATTTACACACACAGGTTTAATGATCTTTGAGGTTATATAAATTAAAGACCGGTAAATATGGCAGGGTTTTTGTACAATTTAATGTGTATCCCGGAAATTCCAAGCAGGCACATTATTTTATATGTTGATGAATCAGAGTGTTGTACTGTTATCGCATGTAAGGTGTATCGGAGAAATCAGCCTACTATGTGCCACTCGCCATCGCCACAGCTCTTAGAGTCCTTGGCTAGCGTCCATCTTGGATGATTTCGAACAGCTGCTGAATAGTTATTTACCCTTCCAAAAATATTTTTTCAAACACCGAAGGGATGATTATAATTTAAATATATAGTATACTGTGAGATTAGAAATTTTCTTTGTAGTTCTTAATTTTTTACGAGTTAGAATGTCTAGGCTCAGAGGACTTGTAAGGTCTTACACACTTACTTAATACTTATAAAAATGTTGCTGAAAAATCCAGATCCAAACAAAATTAATCGATTAAATCTTATACTGGTCAAAATGTCTGTTGTATTTTAAAAACATTTTACGGTGTAAAAAGTGTAATCACTGAACTTGAAACTTTAACATACCTCCAATAACAACGGCAGAAGCATTTTGGCGGAATCCGAGGCCCATTCTGAGTACCTTGATGGCTCTTCCTTCATAAGTGCTTCCAATATCCATCGTGGTAATGAAATTAAACTCTTCAGCCAAACTGTCCATGTAGTTGTAAATGTCCTCCAAAGAATAAAATCGATCCCATGTCATTTTGTTTCCTATTGATGTTGAAATGACTAGTTAGAGACATTTATTTCTCATAGGTAATTACTTTTAATTAATAGCTTGACTTATTTAAGGAATATATTAGTTGCAACTGCATACTTTAGTACACTTCATTCTTGTTCTGTATTACTACTTACTTTGCTTGATTCATTTGACTAAGAGGACTGATGCTTAGGTAAATGTATGATTCAAAGAGGCTGCTGACCTCTTAAAAAATCGTCCCCCATTATCACGTAAGTTCATAAAGCTTAAAATATTTCAAAGGTTACAACAGCTTTAAAGTTCAAACGTTCAACATATTACATGCTTAGTTTCATATCCTGCAGACAATAAAAATATTGCAGTAGCTGACATAACCTTGTTAATAATTACATTAAGCCACACTTAAATCACACTAAGTACTCTAATCATTAAAAATTACCTTGAGCAATACCAAGAGACCATGAAATGAGACATAGCCAAAGTAAATGATGAAACTGCCGCATGACGAAGCAAGGCAAGAGCTTTAGACATGTCGCTAACTTGTAATCTCTTAAGATCTAATCAGAGACTGATGTCTTATCAATGACAAGTCTATTGTCCCTTCTTACAATACACATACTATATTGTAGATATAAGTTTGATCAAACATTTTGATTTGATGAAAAGTAGTAGGTAACAAGAATCAAATTAAAGTTTTATTTGTTTAAGTAGTATTTTGTCAATGAAAAATAAATGTTATCTGTCCTCATTCATTTAGGAGTTTGATTTTTAAATATCGTTTGGAAAGGAATAGGGCTTAGCTACGGTACTTAACCTGAGTGAATAAGTCCAGAAGCGAATAGATATACAAAATACCCCCGCCGCAGCAAATACTTAGGTTTGCTGCTACAGGGAATGTATTGAGGTGTGTTTTTATTGAAATATTGATAGCTTAGTACAGTAGACTCCCTCTTATCCGGACTCCTCAAGGCCAGTCCGGATAACAGTTTTTCCGGTTAAACTGACGTCCCCAAAAACTCGTTAAAACGGACCGTTTACTGTGATATTCAACTTAAATTTAGGAGAGCATTTTATTTAGACACGTGATCCCTGGTCTCAATTCTTTCCCACGAGAATAGTCATTTCTGTACCTTTACACTTCCTGCCGATCTAGTCCGGTTAAACCAATGTGCTGATAAAAATTGTCTGTTTAAAGAGATGTCATTTCCGCCTAATGTAGTCAGGAGTCCGGTTAAAAGGTGTCCCGATAAGAGGGATTCTACTGTATGAAATAAATAAAATGGGAAAAAATTTATTAAAATATATCCATAAACAAGCAAAATACAACAGTTTATTTATTCTCCATGAGAATAACATGTGATTTAAATTTACATTTTTTTTAAATATCTCCGTAACCATTAGGCATACAACAACGCTCCAATATACAAAATTATTTATTTTTTTAAGCTCTACAATATGATCATTTTTGCTCGAGCTGCACTTACGGACACATATAATATATATATATATATATATGTATGAAGATTAAACATTAATATACTTAGTACCCAAGTAAAATATATATATGAATTCGAACAGAGGGTGTTTATGGCCTATGGGTACCTCAAAACAAAAAAGTAAATCGGTCCCGGGTCCAGGTCTTACCATGAGTACTACATTACTCTGAGGTACTACTGTAATAGCTTATTCCCTATGGGAAATTTGCTAAAAGACCTCATTAAATTAATATATTTTTCGTTTGAGTCCATGTTGACCTTGGATCCTTAATTTTCTGAAGTAAGCAGAATTCTCTTTGCAAAAAATATAAATCAACCACACGGCTTTCCTTGTAAGTACATGAATTTTCCTAAAGCTAAAGCATTTCCCATGTTTGAATATTTTCATCTCATTCTATAACCTATACTTGTTTTAATTACAGTATTACCTTTGACTATTAATGTATTACTAAAATCAAAGGTAATATATGTAAACAATAGACACTCTTAACATTTAATACATTGTTTATTAACATAAATGTTTTGCCTCTTTGTAAACAAAATGAACAATATTATACAACCCTGAGACATTAAAACTGTATCTTTTATTGGTTTGTTTGTGTTAAGCTTTAAATGAAAAACCTTTCACAGAAAGGACATGGAAATTTTACAAAGCTATACAAATCAAGCATAAACATGTATAACAGGTAGAATGTCAATTTTTCACTTTTTGAGTAAGTACGGTGAAGGCTGCAAAAGCATCTTTTGATGCCTTCATAATCTCCGATGGTGGAAGAGAGAACATATACTCTCCAGTGTCTCTGAGTTCGAGAGTGTACGAGTATTTGATCTTTGCAGCTGCCTTCGCCCAATCCTGGGATCCTCCTGGAAACAACATTTATACTTGACAGAAATACACATACTATTTTCTTTACTGCTTCAAGCCTTAGTGGAACTTTGAGCTGTATTAGGGTTAAAAAACTTGAAGAAAATTAAACTGTTGGTAGCATTTAGTGAGAGTTCTCAAGTATAAAAATATTCTCTTTATCCAAGACCAAGAGTTTTAAACTCGTTTCCTAGGTAGGTGGGGAAAGGGTGGGATCTGAATCCAGACATTATGTAGCCTAGGTAGACATTAATACCCAGGTTTCCATAACAGATCTAATCCTCATGATGCTAATCAGCTTGACCATACATAATTTCTTTAAGGAGGAGTTAAGATAAAAGTTAGCCTATTTTATGTTAAGGTAAAGCATAGTTGCACTAATGACTGGCGTTTGAATTGGCAAGGAGAGCACACCAGATGTTTAGAGACAGTCAGTTTCATCCCTGGTGTGCATGAGATGAGGTTCTACCAAACAAATGCAAAACCAAACTGATAGATATTTTCTATGTTCATGACACTTCTTACCAGAAGCTATGTAATAAGATTCAGCCGCTCCTCCAAACTTGTATATTGCTTTATTTTCCAGCTTTATCTTGTAGGCCATGTAGTATGCAAGATCGTAGAGATCCTTGTAGTCAGATGGTCTAGTGTAGCTGTAGGCCCACGGAAACAACACGTTTTGGCCATAGCTGTGAAGACTCATATATCCCTGAGACAATCAAAATCATGCTGAATAGAGGTTACTTTTTAAATTAAATAGGATCATTATTTAGATACTCTATTCGTTGTTTGATTTTAAAATCAATTCTTGATTGATCATAATAGTGTCTCTTAGTATCCACATTTAAAAAATATAGACTACATTCTAGTTTCATTTTATTTCTGCAAAAGTGATAGATAACCCTAACATTTTAATGTTTTAGGATGATATGTTCCTTTGGTAAGCTCGTTTAAGTTTCCTTAAAGTAGGGCACAACAAATAATAGACCTCTGGTCTCAATGACAAATTGTCAAGTTAAAACAAGACTGGACATAAAGTTTTGTGATAGAGTGGATATCAATACACAATTAATCGAGCCCTTCTTCTGTCTTAATAAGATTAAATATAACCAAAGTAAAACTGATAACATCACAGGGTTCTCTAAAAAGTCTACTGTGCCCTGTTCTATCTAGTTCCCATCCACAGAATCTACTCTGGAAGAAGAATGTGAAAAGGTTTCTATAAAAAATCCCTTATTTGTTTTTGCAACAATCCTTTTTAGGCACTCGAGCAGAAAGCTAAATTGCTCAGATTAAATAACGGTATTCAAACTATTACTACTTGGATGCCCGAGATCTTAAATGACTTATTCTTCATATAACGAACAAAAATTTCCCTGCAAATGTATATTTTACGCTCTTCATTTGTCTGAATAGAGTTTTGTATCGTGATAGACAATTCCTGAAGCAACACTTGCAGTGAAATATGCATATTGGGTGGCTGTAGAGCTCCAAAAACTAGATTAATAATTAAAACAGATATGAGGGGGATAAGGCCCTGACACGTCAACCAAAGCTCACTGTGCATTACCGGTACCTATATAGTTTATAAAACTGGGAACAATAATCGATGGACATGGATGATTGAGTACCTAAAAATCTTACCTTAATCTCGCCAGTTTTGCTAAGCAAGTACTTTGACATGGCCTGAGTCTCGAGTTCTGAGAAGGGCTGAGCCCCGCGGTAGTTCATGTGGCAAGGGTCGGACCAGGAGTCTGGCCCCGCCCACTTATGGTTCCAGTTGCGGTTCAGATCCGTCCCCATACAACTCGAGCCGTTGTTGGCCGAACGGTTCTTTCTCCAGAAACGATCTGTGGTGTGTGAGTACTCGTAGCTAAAATGTGTGGGGAGTGACATTCATTGAATTAAAAACATTTACCCATAGCCAGCCTTACTCATGTGGGAAAGGTGCGGCCGCACAAGGCCCTGCACCTCAGGAGGTGCAAAATTTGGTGGAAAATTTAAAAAAAAGTGGAAAAAGTCTGTTTATTTAATCTTAATTTTTTATTATCTTTTGTGTGTTTTTATGCCATTGGCATTTTTTATAATTATGTCAATTATGGAAACAGAAAAAGACTTATATTATTAATTGAGATTTGTTTGTCGTTATTGTTCTAATACTAAATTTTCGTAGTAAGGGCCCAACCCCTGCTTGCTTGCACTGAGCCCTGCACTACCCAAAGCCGACTCTGTATGTACCATAACTTGATAATGTTCTGTTTAATGATTTTAATTGATTGTGCTAATTATTCACTAAGGATTTAAGCAATGATTAAGTCAACGATGGAAAAATGTTATCGTTTAGAAAGTTAAACATTTATGTTACATCCTCCTTTTTTCCTATCAGTATTCTTCCAAATTAAATTCTTAACTAAATTTCAAAATCTATTCTCAGATGATTTTGACTCTACTGACACATTAGATTTTATCCAAGTATTGTACTAAACGTAATTACTACGCAAGTAGAAAAGTAGAAAAATTCAGTAGAACTATTTTTGTTTTTTCCTACTATAGGCCAAGTTATTATGTAGTAGTAGGGGTCTTCTTAACAACAGTCTTATATACGGCTGTTGCTTTAACCAGCCTAAACTACCAAGAATGTTTACTTCTTAAAACAGCCCATTTTGTTAAAAACCAGTCTAACATGGCAGGAAGTGGAAGCCTTATCATATGCAGTCAAAATTAAAATAATTGAAACTTCTGCTAAGCCATAGCAACTTTCTTTCTGAAAGGTACAATACTTTATTTTTACTTTATTTGTACCTTTTGTACATTTTTGCTACAGTATTTACAACTGGTGTAAACACAGTAGGTTTTGTTATGTGCCCTTTGTCTTGGACATGAGCTTCATATTTATCTTGCAGAACCCATTATCAGCAAGGAAGGTAGTGATTCAATTACAGATTTTAATTTTGCTACTATGTTCAACTTTGTTGATCATTTTTATTCTTTTACTTTAAATGTATGTATGTTAAATTATGATCACACATAAATTACTCATTTATTTCGGAGCGCATCTAAAACCTCACAAATATTAGTTAGTTTTTCACTAGTTTTTCCTCAAACTGGATGGGAGTGTTGCATGACGTCCAAAACATAATTTTTGAGTTGTTGCACGACATCCAATACAAAATATTTGAGTGTTGCACAATGTCCAAGTGCCACGACGTCCAAAAGTACAGTAACTTAAAAAAATATAGTCTTTCTACAAGCTTTGGACGTCGTGAAACTGCGCACTTTATACTTTTGAAAAACTTAGTTCAACTTTGGCCTAGTTGAAAAGCACTATGTCCAAAGCTCTGTTAAGCCAGTTGCAAGACGTCCAATAACTCACCGCTGTTGGAGACGTCCAAAGCTCCTGCGTACGGAGCATGGTTTGATTAGGTTAAGATAGGTTAGGTTAGTATCCAATAAAGACGGTAAAACAGTACTCACAGTATGCATGCGCTTTGGACGTCATGCAACAGCACTGAGCTATTGGACGTCGTGCAACTGCTACCTTTTTCAAAGAATATAAAGTGTGCTGTTACACGACCAATCCCATGACGCTTGTAGAAAGAATATATTTTTTTGCAGTTACTGTACGTTTGGACGTCGTGGCACTTGGACATTATGCAACAGTCAAATATTTTATATTGGACGTCGTGCAACAGCTCAAAAATTATATTTTGGACGTCGTGACACTGAATAATATTATTGGACGTCGTGCAATGCATCCAACTGGATGAGGAAAACACCTGCAGTTCCCCATGAGAGAGACCTAAAAATTAAAATGAATCAGACCTATGTGTTCCAGATCGGTTTTTTATAAACATAGGTATGTATACTGTAGTCTAGACATGAATTCTCAATACCCATCTGGGTTGACGACAGGCAGTATGTAGTAGTTGAGGCCAGAGAAGGTGGAATTGGCATCGTCCGAGGAGAGATTGTCCAACACTTGGTGAAGGATGTACAATGCTGCGGCCGGAGTCACCCATTCTCTGGCATGGATACCTACACCATAAGCCATTCTACTTATAAACTATTCTACTTTCTATGGGTAGATATACCACAATAAATTCAATTTTCAAACAGCAAAATTATTAAATTGAAAATTTTCCCACCTTTAAAAGTATTTTTTTGACAAATTAGGCTATTTTTACCTCTGTCTGTAGTCCAAAATTTGCATCAACATTTGGTGCTGGACAGTTTTTGTTCAAGCGAAACATTGTCAAAGCGTGTACTATGCCAAAACATTAAAAGAAATATATACTTAAAACACGAAACATGAAACGGACATAACGATACCGTTAGCAGAACTAATCGCCAATCGGTCTCGTCTACGGCAGTAGCCTGCTGTATCATAGTGCTATCGTTGTAACTTACTATGTTATGTCCGTGTCGGTTTTTATGTATATATTTTTATTGCTTATGTACATGGTACATGCTTTGAAAATGTTGCACTAGCAACGGAACTAGCTAGCACCATTGTAATTGATAAAAATTTGGAGTACATACAGAGGTAAGAATAGCCTAATTTGTCATGAAATGATGCAAAGGCCTGTTAGATAGATTGTCATAAATTATTTAGTTCTGTTTCTCAAACCTAACTTTACCCTTACTGCTGTGTTTTTCGGGCTACACAAAGGTATAACCCTACTTCAGATTCCTCAATGGACGAAGGATTAAAAAAATATATAATCTAATAAAAATAGTTGTCTTTGGAAAGTATTCATTACATACCAACCCCAGAATAACCCAGTGAACTGCCAATATTTCGAAACATGTTTTCATGTCTACAGAGTTAAGCATTAAGTTATTAATTCATTTCCTGGTTAGTTAAGAGGAGCATTGCCTACGTATTCCTCTTTTACACTGTCAAACAAAAGTAGCCTATCATTTTCCCGCACCTCCATTTTCACACTAGAGCAAAAACCAAAAATTACCTGTATTCATTTGTGAATTTAGAAAATGACAGTTAAATATTATTGGGTGAATTCAAGTGGCGGTTCCAAGGGGGGGGGGGGCTATTGGAGCTAAAGCCCCCTCAATTGGATCCAGGAAGTATTAATTTAAATGAACTTTCCTGACAAAAACGTAATGGAGATTTTTGGACACAGATATAGACCTTAAAAATAGAATTTTTTCTGGAGGAGGATCCATCTCCTGGCGTTGCACCGTACATCATGGTTACCCCCCCCCCCCTCCCTTGACTCGGTCCTAGAACCGCCACTGGTAATTCAATATTTCTTATTCATTGAAAAGTTTTAAGAGTTATCAATCTCTAAAAGTATGAAACATAATTGTTGCTTATATACTCGTACAACTACACACACTATGCTGTCCGTGCATTTGGGTAAAATACTAATGCTTGCCATATATAACAAGTTAGTCATCAGTTTGAACCAAAAGTCTACAAGTTTTTTGAAAGTAATAAACTAGAGCATAACGTGGCTCTGACAACTGAAAGTTGTAATCTACTCATGTCTGAATTTGTGGTAAAAAGTTTGAGTTGAATATTGTTACAGGCTTAGAAGAGAAGAATGATTAAGTATTTTTTAAATAGTTTGATACACTATTTTTGCAGATATGTCTATGACTATCTTTGATCAAACGATAACTTTGGGCAGATATCTGAAATCCACTCAGCATAATATTTTCTACATGGCAGTAATTGAGTTTATCTTATAAATTAGCCTACTATCGGTGTTAGGCCAACAATAGTTTCTAACTTATAAGCAAACGAGTTACTTTGACATCAGAATTATAGCATACCGGTACCTAACTAAAAAATTATTTTTGTTTAGTTTAGCCTAGTATCAAATTCAAATGACCATGAATTGTTATGAGATTGGAAGACTGAAAAAATATTACTTAAATAACTTAGGCCTACTGATCGGAAAACCAGGCCTAACTTTATTTTAACAATTTAATGGTCAAAAAGTAACGTGATTGAGTTTAATAACTGTAGGTACCCTAGTTAAAATGACAAATACATATTCTAAAGAAGATTAATTTGGCTAAAACATTACCAGTTACATATTTTATAAAAATGTATTTATTTGTTGTTAATTAAGCCAAAATATAACAAAATGATTACTCTTTGTGCTCAACAATTAATTAATAGGAGTGAAAGTTAAATACTGTTCCTAAGTAGTAATAAACTGAAAATTTACATTTAACAACTGTCACTAGCCAGTTAAACATGAGTAGGCCCTATATATTGAAAAAAAGAACAAATAAAATTAAATAAACAATTAACTTAATCTTGCAAGAAGTTTCACAAAGAGGCATTGTAATACTCTTTTCTAAGTTCATTGATCCTAGCCTACTTAAGTGATGAAAAGAATCAAAGTACAAAATTAGTAAAAACATTAGTAAAAAATACCTTAGGAATGTTATAAAAAAATAAAGCTAACCTTCGATGCAGTAATACAAAATAGGCTTTGATCACAGTCACTTGTTAGATGGAGTCCCTGCTGTAGGCATTGGTATGTTGAGAAGTTGGCAGAGTTTGTTCCGCTGAGCTCTAGCAGCCTCAGTGCTCAATGTATCCCATTCAGTGTCACTCAGAATTGCCATGGCGTCATCTAGAGTAGATGGATCGACTCCACACTCCTCGCTGTATACAATCAAAGCTTCATACATCTTGGTCGCTGTTACTCTTCGTAGCCAAAGAAATCTATGACAGAGCAGGATGCCGAGTTGAACTAAGGAACGGCGGGAAACTTCTCCAGGCACTTGGATCAGCTGACAGAAGAAATCAACACTGGCAGTGAGTTTCTTGCTGTTCACAGTCTTAGCAATTTCAGTTTTGCCACACCGCAAAAGTCTTTTGGCAAATGCGTTTTGCGGGTCAATAAGGACAGGAGCTATAGAGTTTGAAGTAAGAAGTCGCTCCAGGAAAGTTAATAAAGGTATTGTGATCCTGTCTTCATGTTGGTATTGTTCAAAAATAGTTGCAACTGTGTCACACAGCCGCACTAATTCGGTGTGCTCTTGTTGTCTTAAATGATCAAAAAACGCTTGACTAGAATATTTAACCAAGCTTTCAGTTAGTCCTCCCACACTTCCGACGAGACCCAGCATGACAGCCTTTGTAAACTGGGGTAACGATAACAGTTGAATAAAAAGGGGAAACGTATCACATGCTGCAATCCAATTGATAGAATCACAACGATCTGCTGGAAATATTTCTTTGAGTTTCGCTTCGTCAGGAATATGAGGAACTGGCTTACCATCCTTATGCAGCAAACTGGAGAAAACTCTACCGGCATAACCTCTGGTGCGATCGATCTTTTCAACAGCTTGCTGGGATATCTCCACAAAAGATTGGCAGATTAAATCTGGATCAAGTACTTCACTCGCTTCATCTGTTGCTAATGTGATCACATCTTTAAGGCCTAACATCGCTGCTTCTCTCACCCAAGCTCCAACATCACCTCTACTGTCACTTGTGTAGTCTTTCATTCCATTCAGAAGAGCTTCTATTATTTCCACAACCAAACTGTAACAGCTCAAACCTTCATCTATCTTGTGCAAGTGAATGTTGAGACAAATCGATGACAAAGCTCTCAAAGCTGCAGCACGAGACTCTGCCCACTTGACTGATTCTTGTGTTATCTTGGAGCATTTAACAAGACTCTGAACCACTGTGGGGAGGAAGCCATGAAGCATAAAAGGAGGTAGTGAGCCGAGTGCTAAGGTATATCCCATCCTTGAAATTTTATTGCCAGTTTGTAATGTTGAGGTATATTTGTTGATTATGTCACTGCGGATGTCAACAGAATCTAATGAATAGTACTGTGTGCAAAGATGGGTTAGAGCTGCAGCTGCGGTTTGCCTCATCTCTGTACTTTCATGGCAAAGGCAGTCATCCAAGAGTTCTTGCCATTCAGCTACCACTGGCTTTCCATTGAATGGTAATTTTGCCCGAGAGCAATTTTCAATAAATGAGCAGCAGGCAATCTTCGTAAATTCACCACTTTGACCTCTCATTACCTGTCTTTCTTTAAGGTGAGAAACAAGATTCTCAACTTCATGTAACTGAGATGAATCTAAAGAAATATTTAGCAGGGACAGACCATGAACTATTTCGCCGAGAGCAAGAATGGCACCATGACGAGCGTTGAGATCAATGGATCTGATTAGTGAAAGTAAAGCCTGGAATCCGTGAGTCAAAATGTACTGAGGAGCACAAGGTGTCAGGTTAAATAAAGCCTTGGCAGCTAGGCTACGAATATTAGGGTCCCAATTGTCCACTTTACGGTCAAACAAATGATTAATGAATCCTTTTGTGTTCTCCTCAAACTGAGCTATATATACACTGATTTTCAGGTACGCATTACTCCTGATACCAACAGAAAAATAATCGGCTGTGGTCAAAATTTCAATACCGTGAGGAAAATTCCCAAGTCTCCCAACATTTTCTTGAAAAGCTGCTGCTGCAGCTCTCCTACAGTTTATCTCCCGATCAAAACAAGTAGCAATGAGTAACCCCTCAGCGATTTGTGTAGAAAAAGGTAGAATGATATTAGGATGATATGCCCTTGCAAATGCCCAACATACATAGCATGCTGCATCACGGACATTAGCGCCGACAGAATTGTAACCACGTGGCTCCTCAAAAGTTAAAGCTTTGACCACTAAGGGTACGACATCTTCTAACCTTTTGGGTAAAAGCAGCCCTCTTCTGGCAAGCTCAGCCAATGCCAGGCAACCACCTTGCCAAGCTCCATCTGAGTTTCTTGGATTTAAGAGTTCTAGAATGGAACAAACAACATCATCTCCACACTGTTTATTTAAACGAGACATCACCCGGCCAATACCTTTAGCTGCTGACCACCGTGTGGTATTGTTTTCATTCTTCAGGCCTTGGATTAAATATTCAATTATGTCCTCTATTTCAGAAGGGATATCAATATCATCATCTTCCTCTTGTTCATCACCACCTCCTAAGTCTTCGGTAGGGTTTGTGTTGGCTTGATCAGTTGCTTGGACATCTGCATTAGAGAGGTTGCTGGTCAAAGAGCGGCTTCCTCGATTGTAACGCCATGATGCTACTCTTGGTTTGAGAAATGTAAGACCAATCCTAGCAACTATTTTCATTGAAAACTTGCTTGATAGGGGATAGTAATCATCAAGACATTTAGCATCCATGACACAATGCAACAACTGTGGGGCATATGGAAGTAGGTCTTCACGCTTCCCGTGCTTCAAAATAGATGCCAAACATGCCAATGGCCCAAATCTTTTCCAAGATGAACCCTCAGTTATTTCGTCTGATACTTTTTCATTTATCCATTTTAGGAAATCAGCCAGATAAATTTCTTTGACATCTGAACGAGTTAAAAAGCGAGCTGAGAGAAAAGCGGCGCCCTCACGGCATTTATCCCCACACAGTAGATACTTCTGACAAACATCACACAATCTACCCATCACAGTTTTGCTTTGAGCTCCACTGTCGAGGCGAGACATGTGGAATGGAATCATAACAATGATTGATAGCCATAAAAGTAGACAATACCTTGTTTCCCAAGTAGCAGTATCATTGGAATCTTGCGCCTCAAGCAGCTGTAATGTAGGCTCCAGATCAGCAACTTCGTGTGGTAGGCATCGAACTATTACTTTGTATCCTCTGGTGTTAATTAATAAGAATAAATACTTGAAGGCTGTATGTTTTAGCTCAACTGCAGATTCTTGTCGTACAATGGAAACAATTTTTGAAAGAATACCATCCAAATAGGGATCCAACAAGTGCGGCTGTTCATTATATTGGCTGAATATTAGTTGAAACTTCTCATACGCTCTTTCAGCATCTCGCATTGTCGCTTCAGGCCCACAAATGTTAGAAATGTTGTTTAACATTTCAATAACCTCTTCATTTTCTGAGAATCTTTCTTTGGCACATATTAATCCGACTGATTCTACATTTTCGTCGCCGAGTGCATCACCTTTATCGCACATTTCGTCTAAAATGGAATGAAGAATAGGCCTAGGGCACTTACAAATTACTGTAAAGAAAAGTTAACGAACAGTTTATTCAATAATAAACAAAGCCACTGGCGTAAACGGGAACTTATTCTTGCCTTTATACTACTCCTAAAAAAGTCAATATTCATTCAAAGAAAACTTCCGAAACTTAAGATATTTAGTTACTTTCCAATTTCCATGACTAGTTTTAGGTTTATGTTCATTCAAAACAAACTAACAAACAAACTGAATCTGCTCTGCACAAACAAAAAAAAGCATTCATTTCATGACGATATGACATGACAATTGAAAACTGGAACTGAACTGAACTGACACTCTGAAATGAAACGATACAAACGAAAAATAAACGGTATCAGCATTCTGACACATACTTTCTCCCATAAGTTTGTCAACAACCTTTATCATGTGTAAGCGGTGAGAGTAAATATACGGAAATCCGATCGTTCGGGTCATTTTTGTGAAAATCCGATTTTTCCGTTATTTTATTAATCCACTTGCTAGGGGGGTTTCCGTGTGCATTTTATGTATAGAAAAACACCCTAAGGGATCATGTAGGTACTATGTGGGTTATCATTTCTCACCTGGGTGCCAGCTTGGCAGAGTGGGCATAACCTCAGAATTCGCCATTTTAAAAATGGTGGCGGCATTTATTACATGAAACTCATTGGGAGCTTATATCTCGAAAATGGTAATATATAGCGAGTTACTTTTACTACAATAAATGCTGCTTACACAATAAGGAAAAACTTTTGTATTTACAAAAATGACCTTACTATAACTATTTAGGAGTAGTTGGGCAATTTATGCTAATTTAACCTATACATTTTTACTCTGTTTGGAAAAAAATTCTATTATCTTTAAAACACTGTTCATTTTTAATTTTGCACATAGAACTTATTGCTCTTTACATTTAAGGTCAAAATACCCCCACCGAAGCAAACCTGCAGACTAAGCAAACATTTACCTGGCTGCATTTCTACTAAAATATTAGAATTGTCATATTTATTTAATTTTTATATTTAACCTTTACATTTTATCTCCGTTGCCAAAAAATCTAATAATTATAAAAAAAATTGTTATTTTGTAATTTGGCACATAGCACTATTTTTTCTTCGAATTTAAGGTAAAAAACTGCAAAAAGCATTCGAGAAGCTTCTGGCAGATATAGGTTATTAAAATAATATAAAATATTTTTTAATTAATTTTTTGTTATTACATGACGCATACAAATATAAAAATAAATATAAACCTTTCTATAAAATGAATTTTTGTAATTACAAATAATAATAAATCTACGGATGTAATAGAAATTATTATTATAATTCATAACATTTGTTATTAAAACGGCGATGGAGCGGGAACGGGACTGGCGGCAAAGTTGGTGCATCGGCCAAGCATTGACGTCTCGTTAACACAACCAGTACCTTGACATTGTCCTTGGTGGTAGGCTGCTTTGGACTGATTGTATTAAAATTGAACTAGTTTCGTGGATCATAACATTTGTTATTGGATCTAAATTATAAGCCTTTTGGGTTAAGAGGAATTAGATCTGTTCCCTTTTATAGTCATCAGAAAAATTAAACCGTTCACAATATACTTGTGTGCATTGCGGCAAAGAGTAACCACCATCACTGTATCCAAAACTCAAAGGATCGAGTTGAAAAACGTGTTCTTCCAAGCAATGGATTTGGATGTATGTACAATAGAAAGCACGTAAGATATGCTGTCTAGTAGCTCTACTAGACATAATTTCTTCTCGAGCAAAGGATGCAGTTCTTTAAGAGTATTCGTTGTACAGTGACAGTGTACGTATATCCAGTGTCTTAGATCATTCATAGTTTCACACTGAGTATCCCTCACTGATACTTCACTGTGTTTTTCAAACTTTATTCTATCTCTTCCTCCTCATCTTTTCCAAAGTCCATTAGCAAAGTACTTGGATTACATTTTAGGGTGGCACGCTTTGTTCCAAATTTGCTGGAAAAGTCACAGCCCGTTAAAATATGGAGTGCTGGGAGAACTGAGCAAAGGTTACTTCCAAGCCTGTTTGCTATAATGTGAACTAGTACATATCATGAAGTTCTGACTGAACCAAGTCGCATCCACAATTCCTGCAAACCTTCCGAAGAGAATCCATTCATAAAGTGTAAAGCCAACACTACGACATCTGTATCCGAAGACAGAACTACGACTTAATTTGATATAACTCAAGCAAAAATGATCCAATTTTAATGAAATTTATCACAAACATGTAAACCTAAGTTTTCAGACGAGTTCGGACTATTAAACCAGCACGATCGGACTATGGGAACGGGGGTTTATGGGGAGTTTTATGGAGTAAAAATTGATTTTTCCGATTTTCGACCCTAAAAACACGAAATTTTAGAATGAACCAAACCATTTTATAGAGCTCATAAAAGAAATAATTTTGTATATTGAAACAGTGTATGTCCAAAAGTTGCGGAGATAATTTAAAAAAAATTGTAAATTTAAAATGCCCATGTTATTCTTATGAAGAATAAATAAACTGTTTTAGTTTGCTTGTTTATGGATATATTATAGTCAAATTTCAAAATTTTTTTCATTCATAGTAAGCTATCAACGTTTCAATAAAAATATATAAAATACACCTCAGTACCTTCCCTGAAGCAGCAAACTTAAGTACTCATTACAAATCAATGTCATTTAAATAGGAAATCAATCTGTCAATTTTAATATTTTAGTAGAAATACAGCCAGGTAAATGTTTGCTGATTCTGCAGGTTTGCTGCGGCGGGGGTATTTAGACCTTAGATGTAAAGAGCAATTGGTGTTTTATGTGCCAAATTCAAAAAACAGTTTTTTTTAAAGATATTAGAATTTTTTTTGTCAAACAGAGTAAAAATGTATAGGTTAAATTAACATAAATTGCTCAACTACTCCTAAATAGTTATATTTAGGGCATTTTTGTAAATATAAAAGTTGTTCCTTATTGTGTAAGCAACATTGATTGTAGGAAAAGTAACTCGCTATATATTACCGTTTTCGAGATATAAGCTTCCAATGAGTTTCATGTCATAAATTCCGCCGCCATTTTTAAAATGGCGGATTCTGAGGTTATGCCCACTCTGCCAAGCTGGCACCCAGGTGAAAAATGATAACCCACATAGTACCTACATGATCCCTTAGGGTGTTTTTCTATAAATAAAATGCACACAGGAACCCCCCTAGCAAGTGGATTATATGGGGTTTTTATGGGAAAATAACATAATTTACAATAACTTTTGAACCATAATTTTTACAGAAATGGGATTTGTACCATTTTGTTCAGAATATAAAGTACTAAAACATACAAAAATTTTATCAAAATCGTTCGGGCCGTTTTTGGGAAAATCCTATTTTTCCGGTATTTTATGGGGTTTTATGGGAAAATTCCCATTAAAAATAAAAATTTTTTAAAAATGAAAAAAAACTCTAAAAACTTTAAGGACTATAACATACTATGTTAAAATAAAACCGTATTTTTTTCTAAAATCCCATTTTTCGCTATTTTATGGGGTTTTTATGGGAAAATAACATAATTTGCCATAACTTTTTAACCGTAATTTTTACAGAAATGGGATTTGTACCATTTTGTTTAGAATTTAAAGGGCTACAACATACTAAATTTTTATCAAAATCGTTAGGGCCATTTTCGAGAAAATCCAATTTTTCCAGGTTTTATGGGTTTTTATGGGAAAATCCCCATTAAAAATCAATATTTCAAAAAAATGAAAAAAAAGCCTGGAGATACCACGGATTAGAACCTACATACCAAATTTCATCAAAATCGGACCACAGGTGTAGTCCCTAGCTCTGTACACATCCAGACACACACACACACACACACACATACGGGGTTTTACCGAATACTCGCAAACACCTAATTGTGGCATCTTTCAACCTGCGGCCACCAGTGGATGAAGGAAGGTGGTAGAAACATGTCTGCATCGATATTTTTAATGAACACTCCATTTTAACATCTAACATTCCAGTTTTTAAATTGTGGCACCATGCCACAAATCGGTATATATCAACAGTGTGTGGACAGGATGCCACTAATGCGTTGTAGTGCTTGAGCGGTGTGTGCGCCCCCCCCTACTTCTCGCGTGCGCTGTTGCCAGTTCTCCGTTCTAGTTCCTTCATTCCGTTCTGTATTCATGTGGCTATGCCCTAGCCGCTGTAGCTCATTTCCCGCGCTCATGACGTCGTATTTTATTAGTGTAAGGATTTTATATGAAGTTTTTTTCAAAGCTCCAATAATTTTTACAATTATTAGATTTAAAGTCAATGGACCAAATGAAATGTCGTGAGGATTACATAAAACTACATGCTATTTTGTTGATATTTTATCGTCACATTGTATGTATGGTTTACGAACTGAGATACTTGGAATAAAGGCCTTAATGTGCTGGGTAAATCATCAGTTTCATGGGAATATACAAGAAATCTATTCTATCTATATATTAATTACGTAAGCCGATTCTTTGCGTCAAAATTGTGGGCGACTGGGAAGTCGTAGAACGACGTGAGAGGGCTCAAATTAAAGGTCTTTATCCCGTGACGGCGGGAAAAATAGTGAAATTCCCAAAATCTTAACA